ATATATATATATATATACTGGTGTGTATATAAAGCATCTGATTATTGGGATGTATATACAGCTGGGGTGTACATACAGAAAATGAATATCTGGATATATATATATATATATGCAGAAGTGTATATACAGCAGACGAATATTAGGATATATGTACAGAGTAGATTATTGAGGTGTTTATAGAGCAGCTAAGAGGTAGGATAAATATGAAGATTATTGAGGTGTATATACAGTGCAAAGTTTAATATGCGTACGATGAAGGAAGAGATGATAGTAGAAGAGTTTTTTTGCGTTTTGTATGCTTGGGCTCTCGAGGTTAAAAGGATGGTGATATGGATTCATCCAGAGAGCAACAAAAGATTGAATAAAAATAAAAAAGGCTTTTAAAGTTGCCGGCCCCTCTGCGGTGTATATACACTTCAAGAATTTTTCGCGAAATAGATCTGCTAGCTGTGATATAACAGACAAAGACCCTTGATATTGTTTTATATTTATTTTCTGTTGTTTTGCTGTTCTCTGCTGCAAAGCCCCCCAACTCGAAGGCAATGATATTCTTTTTGTCTTTTTAAACAAACCCACGAAAAATGCTTTCACTGCAGCACCAAGCTGCTTCAGCGTGTTCGATTTGAACTCCTCCACAACTGTATGCAAAGTAAATGCTAAACAAACAAACAAACAAAGAAACACAGAAAAGATATATATAATAAATAAAAATAATAACGCATGTGAAAGGCATTTAAATATACATAAAGATATTTAAAAAATTAATATAGCTGACGTGTATTGTAGTGTTTGCTACGATTTGAATGAAATGCATTTAAACTGAATATTATTGATATTAATTAAATTTATTTTTCTGTCTTTGTCTTTGTTGCTGCAGACAGAAATGCGTATGGGTCTGCCTCCCCCCGGCACGCGAGCACTCTTTCCCTACACGACGCTCTTCCGATCTTTGATTTCTTCTTTTTCTTCATCTAATAAGAATAAAAAAGAAGATAAATTTACAGCTGCACAGACACCGCAACTATTAGAGGGTCTCTCTGCTGTCTCAAACTTTGTAGATATGTTATTAAAAGAAGAAAGACTAAAAGATAATGCGAATTTACTGCAACATCTCTGGATACAAGCACGAGGTGTACAGGCAGCTGCTGAAGGGTTTAAACCCAAACAAAATAGAAGCAAAATAAATAATGCTGCTGCTATCTTCAGCAAACTTTGGTTCGATGCAACGCCAGCAGCAGAAATCGAAGAACAAAACCTCAAACCTTTTCCTTCTCCTCTTCTCTCCGCTGGTCTTCAACTAGGTAATTTAATTTAATTTAATTCAATTTAATATGATTTAATTTAATTTAATTTAGTTTAACTAATGAAAAATAATTTAGCTTATTTAATCTAATTTAATTGCATTTCATTTGTTGTATTTTGTGTTGTTTTGTTTGACAGTTTGGTTTTGCTTTTTAATTTGTTTTGTTTTGTTCGCCTTGTTTTGTTTTGCTTCTTTTAATTTTATTTTATAGCACATACATATGTATATATATATATATATACATATATATGTACTGCATATTTAGTATTTTATTATAGTTAGATGCAATTAAATAATATCTAATTGAGTTTTTTGTTG